ACATACAAAAATCCCGATGTTTCGCCAAAACTGGCCGCTTTTTCACCAACATCAACTTTTTCAAACGTTTTTAAAGTTTTTAGGGGATAGTTTTTTAGTTGACTTCCATAAAGTTAATAAAAGTACTATTAAACCACAGTTCTGTCCCCGCCAATGCGAACAAACCGGGGCTTGCAATTTTTTGACGTCGAGCCTGGCAATCCGCCTCTCTCGCATCGCGCCGTAATCCCTGTCCCCTGCCTGAGCGAGCGGTCGTCCGAAGCCCCGCAGCGCTTTTACCTAAAAACGGAGACCGGGGAAGTAACAATCCAGAGACTAACCGCACTCCCAAAATGGGGATGAAAGTAGATCACGTCGATCGCCGGTTCTTTCGCATTATCGGCGGGAGGGGGCAAATTTTCCGTCGTATAACCCTAGAAATCCCTAGTAATTTAATAACAAGTACTCTAATAAGGCTCTTTGTAATATAAACCATAATTACTTAGGAAAACTACCTATAAAGCGCAAAAACCCTTTCAGAAAACCAAAATTTTGCCCGAAAACGCGATTTTTCATCGAAATATCCTTGGGAAAAAGGTTTTACGTTTAGGAATAGTCAAAAACGAATTTCGAACATACTTTCGCTAAAACAAAGTTTGTCCCCCCGCTAATGAGAAAGAACCGGTGTTCAAGTTTTTTCCACATCGAATCCTCAATCGATCGCTTCGCATCGCGCGTTTGTCCCCGCCTCGAGCCGTCGTCCGAAGCTCCGCAGCGCTTTACCTAAAACGGGCAACGGCGTAGTACACGCCCAAAATTAGCGGCAATAAAGGCCTAAGCAACGCGACGCTCCATTCGTCAAGAAAATGTATGGGGCCCAAACTTTGGAGGCTTATATCTTGAAAGATAAGACCTAACTTAAAAAAAGCTTGTTCCAACTTTATAGAATGGGAGACTACGAGTCTAATGATACTAAGAACTAAAAAAACTGAGTTCAAAAAGTATCAAAACGAAGGCGATTTTTATTTCGTTTGAATTTGGGGGAATTTGCCGGGCTTTGCAGGGTCGTTTGTATTGGTGTAGCGAACGGCCCTGGGAATGAGATAGCCTATTGAAAACTTAAAATGCTTATAAAAATCTGCTGCTTCATTGTTAAGACATGTCCAGTATACCAAAAAATTCTCCTTTTTTTCGGGCTACAAAACGAACGACCGGTCAGGATGCCTACATGCCAAATCGCTTAGAAAATTACGAAAAAAGTCGAGCCACCTATCCTTTTGTCACAAACTGTAGTAAGAAAGTAAAAGGAAACGCCTGGTAGTGATTCTATCGCCAAATTATATTTTATTTCACTTTCTTTTACATTTGCCTGTTCGATTACCAAACTAAAAGATTCGAACCCAATGTTGCTTGCCGTTGTGGTACGTACGTGCCGTGTAGCGCCCCGTAGCCTTCCGCTCAAATTGCCGAAAATCTATGCATTTGAATGGGCGTGAGTAGCAAGTTCAAGACTAACCGCATCGCCAAAGCTGAGATGAAGCGTAGCTGCCGTCGCGGGCTTCGACGGCTGGCCTAAAAGAACAAAATCTCTAGCCTTTACGGTTCTTTCGCATTATCGGGGGGGCACAACTTTTTCCTTAGGCAGTTTTTCGAATATAAATAGTGCAAGTGTTTCTCAACGGTTGTAATTCTTCCTAAACGCAAAAACTTTACAAATTCCTACTCAAAATACAATAAATGCCGATGTTTAGACGAAAACCGTCCATTTTTAACCAAAATTTCGCCCTTTTGAGTTTTTACCGTTTTTAAATAGTTTTTCTAGTTGGTTTGGCATCAAGAATTCGAAAAGAGCCCTTTGATTTAATCCTTAACCTTAAGAATGCAACACTTTGGTCTAAAAATCGCTATTTTTGAGCTAAACTTGTACAGTTTTTACGTTTAGGAAAAGAAAAAGCTATCTATAGACGATTTCGCTATTTCTATTCGGAAAATTGGGTCCTAGGAAAAATTTTGTGCCCCCCGGTAAAGCGAAAGAAGCGAGATTTCAAATTTTTGAAGTCGATCCCTCAAGCGGTGGCATCGCATCGCGCCGTGTCCCTGCCTCGAGCCGTCGTCCGAAGCCCCGCAGCGCTTTTACCTAAAACGGACAACGGCGTAGTAGCAATCTGAAGACTAACCGCATCGCCAAACGTAGAGAATGCAGTGTAGATGCCATCAGTGGGCGTCGACGGCCATCCGGCGCCACCTAAAAAACACAAAATAACAGTATCCCGTAAAAATCCTACCTTTTTCGCTGCTTTGCCTCGAAGCCCCGTCCGTTTTGCCCAAATTCCCTCTCGAAACCATCGCGATGGTTAGAATTTAGTGGTACTTTGCACTATCGGGGGGATTATTAGGATTTTTTCGAGTTTTTGGATAGTTTTTCTAGTTTACTTGGAGTAAAGTTAGTAAAAATACTTTTTAAAAGTTTCCTTAGGATCCAGTTTTTCTAATATAAATAGCACAAGTGTTTCTAAACCGTTTCTACTATTCCTAAGCTTACGTTCTATTGATTACTAATAAATTGCCGCAGGATACGACAGAAAGAGGGGTTTTTCGGTGCCAGCCGGGGGTGAATGGGGAGGCGGGCGCCGAGAGAGAGAGGGCGGGTGAGGGCGGGCCCTGCGTCCATTGGTCGCTGAAGCCCCGGCGGGATCGGTCGCGCAAATCTGCCCCCTAAAATGGGTTTAGCATCCGGATAAAGTAGCTTTTCTTGAAATATTTGCTATTGGTATCATTTTCCGGTTGTTTCGCACGGGTTTTCAGTTGAATTGAAGCTTGGCCGTCCCAAAAACAGGTCAAAATTCGTTTGGAAAGCCGCAAAAACCTTGTTTTAGCCAAATTTAGAACATGGATTTGAATTTTTGCCTTTTTTATGCGTTTTTGTAGATTGCTCATCCCGAAAACGGCCAAAATAATGTTTTTAAAGCCGCAAAAAACGTTGTTTTAGCCAAATTTAGATCCTGGACTTGAATTTTTGCCTTTTTTTATCAGTGTTTGGAGTTTTGCCGTTCCAAAAAAGGGGCAGAATACTTTTTTAGAGGCCCAAAATTATCGAAATACATCAAAAAAACAAAAATCAACCTTTTACCCGGCTTTTTTCAGTTTTTTAGTCTTGACCAAGCTCTAAAATTCCGGGCGTAAAACTAGGAGGAAATATACGTGAGTTTTTCAGGTCTAAAACTGTCCCCGCCTGCCGCAAGGCGCAAAAACCGTCAAAATTTTGGGTTTTTTTCAGTTTTTTTCGTGGGCATTAAGTGTTTTAAACTAATTGTAAAAAGCCCTCTAATTCTTTCGCGCTCCCCCAAACCGCAAAAGCGACTACGAAAACAATTTTGGCCAAAATTCTGTTTCAAAACTCCATGAAAAGCGTCAAAAAGCAAAATTAGTAGTTTTTTTTTGGGAAATTGTGATTTTTTTTAAGGGCGATCCACGCGACGTCGTCCTTCGATCGGTACCTGACTGCCCGGTCCCTTTATAAGAATATTAGAACCTACAATTCCAGATTGTTCGACTTCTGCTTCTTCTGCTTCTTCAGCACGGCTTCATCTTCTCAGCTTCATCTGCTCGCTTCTCGGCTTCTTCGCGTCTTCTGCACGGCTTCATCTGCTCGATCGCTTGTTCTTCCGCCTCTCCACCTCCTTCAGGTTCTGCCCGCTTCATCCCGTCTCGATATATCTAAATTTAGTCCGGGGAAGAGCCTTATATTCACGACTAACCGCCAAAACTCCTCATTTCGCCTCGTTGTCGTCGTCGCCGCCCTCGCCCCTGCCGAACTCGTGGTGCTGCTCCTTCCTGAAATACCAAATATTAAAATAGCCAACATATAGGGGCTACCGTACCCAAAATGCACCCCATTTCCAGGCGTATTTTGTATGCCCCCGTAGCCTACGCAGTGGGCGGCCATCATCAATGCGCGCGCGTTACACCTCAATACACCGCCTACAAAAAACGCTCGAGCTCCTATAAAATATCAAATTTCGCCCGTTTTTCGCGCGTTTCGGATTTCTCGATCAAAAGTGGCTGTTTTTTAGCAATTTATCGCCCAAAAATCTATTTTTGCCCCCGTTTTTCGCAAGTTGTCATTAATGCGCTTTCGCGTCGCTACCGTATCCCGCTACGGCCAGTACGCACTACAACTACGGACGCTGATGTCTAAAAACCGCCCTACTGCTAATAATTTTCTACTTTTGAACTCTTTAAAACTCAAAAAGCCCAAATAAAAGTCATCGTATCCAACCATTTTGCGATTTCGACAGTTTTAAAACCGAAAATCCCCCAAATAAAAGCCATTTTCTTACCGCAAACACTTCAGACTCGCTTCCATCGCTCCCGCGCGTCATCCTCCCGCGTTGGCTGCCGTCGTCTCGTGCCGCCACATCAGCAGCATCGTCGAGTAGGTACACACATCTAAAGCTCGGGCCGAGAAGTGGAAATCTAATCGCTAACCTTTATAGTGCAGCAGCTTGTCGCCGGCGTCATCGTCGTCGCGGCCCACCGGAAGCTCCCCTGCTGCGCGCGTCGCCGAGCCGTCCCGAGAAGCACCTGTAAAAGCCAAATAAAGCATAAATAAATGAAAAAAAGAGAAATCGCGATGAAAAACACCGAATTGCAATTGAAAAAAAGTAAAAATGGAGTAAAAACGGGATCCGAAAGCTGGTAAAGCGCTTTTCGGTGTTTAAAAGGAAATTTTTGCCCGATTGAAATAGTGTAAAGTTAGAGCAAAGTTTTTGCAATATAGTTTGGGCAAATTTTAAAGGGTTAATGGCTCGAAAACGGCAGTTTTAAAAACGTTCAAAACAAAAGTAATGCCGAATGACGTGAAACCTATCTAAAATTGATTGTATAGTATTTTGCTATCTGATCGTGCTTTCCCCCCCGTAAATCCGGCCGCTAAAACGGCAAAAAATTCAGTTTTTCCTTGTTTTCCGATTTTTCAATTTTGTTTAAAATCCTTCTTTCTCCCCTGCCGCTCTTCCCAAATGCTTTTAAAAAGTTTTCGCAGCGTAAGCGGTCGTTTTGCGACTGGAATTCGTGCGGCAAACCGTTAAAAGATTACTTTTGCTTTTTGTTGCGCCTTTTCCTGGGCTTTTCGGGGGATTTTTTTTGATTTCTAGCCTCTCTAAAGTATCATTTTCTAGTGTAAACCTCTCGAAAAGCCGCTTTCTTTTATTCCCCTTTTTCTAAAATCAGTTTTCCCGCTTTTTAAAGGTTTTAAACCCTTTTTTAAACGCCAAAAAGCACTTTCGTGATTTTGAGACAGCTTTTTTCGGGAGTTGCGCGGTTTCTTTCCCCTTTTTTACTGCTTTTTTTTACTTTTTTCAAATTACTAAATGCTAGCATGATTTTTCTGATTTTTCATTCATTGTACTATTGTTCAGTTTGCAAAAAAAACACATTTTCAGAAGCTCATCGCGTTGGCCGGGCCCACGACCACGACTTCTTCGGCAGCTGATGAGGCGGCGTGCGAGGAGGACGAGGACGTGGACGACCAGGCGATCGAGGCACCGCCCGTGAGACTTAGGTAAAAAAGCTTTTACTTGGGGGGATTTTCGCTTTTAAAATGTCGAAATTGCGAAATTGTTAGATAAGATAACTTTTATTTGGGGGGGGGGGGTTTGGATTTTATTGAATTGGATTTATTGAAATTGTTCGCAGCGTCCGTATTTGTAGTGCGTACTGGCCGTAGCGGGATACGGTAGCGACGCGAAAGCGCATTAATGGCAACGTTCGAGAAACGGGGGCAAAATTAGATTTTTCGGCGATAAATTGCTAAAAAACAGCCACTTTCAAACGAGAAAACCCGAAACGCGCGAAGAAAGGGCGACATTTGATATTTTATAGGCGCTCGAACGTGTTTTTGTAGGCGGTTTATTGAGGTGTAAGGCGTAGCGGCGACAGAGCGCGCATTAATGATAGCCGGCCACTGCGTAGGCTACGGGGGTATACAAAATACGCCTGGAAATGGGTATTTTAATATTTGGAATTTTAGGAAGAAGCGGAACGAGGAGGGCGACAAGGACGAGGATGGCGACGACGACAGCAAGGCGAAATGGGGATTTATCGCGGTTAGTCGTTACTATAAGGCTCTTCCCCGAACTAAATTTAGATATATCGAGACGGGATGAAGCGGGCAGAACCTGAAGGATGAAGCCGAGCCGAGAAGACGACGGGAAGACGTGGACGGTTCTGACGAACGACGACGGTGCTCTAAAGACGCGGACGAAGACGAATCTGGAATTGTAGGTTCTAATATTCTTTTAAAGGGACCGGGCAGTCAGATATCGATCGATGGATGGTGTCGACCAAAAATTTAACATTTCCCAAAACATTATGAAATTGCCTTTTGACGGATTTTATGAGATAATGAAACACAATTTTTTGCCTGAAATCTTTTTCGGTGGTCGTTTTTGCCTTTTTACGAGTAATTTAACGCGTTGAATTTTCGGACAAATTGAGCAAATATTTTTTTTGTTGAAATTTTTTGAAACAATTTTTTTTGTGGGCGTTTTCAAAGGCGCAAAGCCCGGTAAATCTTAAATTGAATTGAATCGTTCGCTAAATTGAATATTAAATTAAATTCTTTGCATTTTAAACAAACTTTTGGAGTTTAGTTGAAAACATTTAATTTTGCCCAAAAATGGGAAAATCAAATTTTTGGTGTTTTTTATGAGTTTTTGAAACACAATTTTTTTAACTGTCAATTTTCAGGAGGATGTGCGGTGGGCTGTGGAGTAGGCGCTCGACAAGAAGCCGGAAAGCGGAAGAAGTTGTGAGATGGAGATTGAGCGGTTAGTCGTTGATCTTGCTTTGCTTCCCCGGAAAGACTTTAGGTAGGACCAGCGGCCGATGAAGTCGACGAAGCTGACGAAGCCAACCAAGCCGACGAAGTCAATGAAGCCAACGAAGCGAAGGAAGCCGAGGAAGCCAACGAAGCCGTCGAAGGCAAACAAAACAAGGCAAAAAAGCGAAAAGCACAAATGGTGAATCCATTTTATTTTTAAAGGGACCGGGAAGTCAGGTGGATGAAGAAGCGGCGCACGGCTTAAAATTGCTTTTTGCCGAAACATTTCTTTTTCGACAGAATTTTTGAAATTTCAATTTTTTTCGCGTGTTAATATTTGCTGAAACATGATTTTTGCCGCGAAAAACCGAAAAAAGGGAAGAACGCTAATTACTTTTGTCTTTTTGGACATATACGAAACATAATTTTTTTACCTGCAAAATTTTTTTTGGAAAAATATTGTTTTCGCTTTGTTTGGAAATTTGTGGAACACAAATTTTTAAGGCTAAATTTAAAATTGGGTATTTTAAAGGGCCGTTGAAGTGTGGAAAGGGGGAACTGGCCACACTAATCGCACAATTTCAGATGACCGCGGCGAGAGAGCGAGGACGAGAGGGACAGTGAGAGAGACGGAGGCAGCGAGAGAGCGCGAGGAAAGGATAGATGCCGCCTACCGTACCCCAGACGTGTTGTACAGCTCGGAGACGTCGGGAATCCGCATCGTTTCAGGTCAGATTTTTTAGAATTCTTATTTTCGGTTTTTTAGCAACTTTTGAAACATAAATTTTTTTCGAGCCGAAATTCAAAAATAGATATTTTTAAAGGGCCGTTGAAGTGTGGAAAGTGGGATATGGCCACCCTAATAGCGCAATTTCAGGTGTCATGGCGAGAGAAAGGAGGCGAGAGAGGGCAGACGACGCCCACCGTGTCCCCGACCAGCTGAACGTCTTGGTGACGTCGTGCGGCTACTGATTGGAGCGGGAATCGCGGTTAGTCGTCGATTGCTTTTTCTTCTCCGCCACTTTAGCTATGACCCCCGGCCATCGTCGAGGAACGCGGGCCGACGTCGCCAACAGCGTCAACCAGAACCTCTACTGACCCGCAGAAGATGGACACCGAGAAGTTTTGGGCCGATCGATTTTTAAAGCATTTAAAATTTTTATAAACTGTATTTTTTGATTTTTTGGCAAAAATTCCAGATTTTTGCGTTTTTTTGGAAATTTATGAAACACGAGTTTTTAAAGCCGAAATTCAGAATGATGATTTTAAAGGAGCGTCGAAGTGTGGAAAGGGGAAACCGGCCACACTAATAATACGATTCCAGTGGACTCGGCGAGAGAGCGACGACGAGAGGGACAGCGAGAGGGCGAGGGAGAGCGGTAGAAGCTGGGCCCGCTGAACGTCTTGGGGATGTGGCTCTGCTGCACAGTTGGAAACAAAGCGAGGAAGAACGGAATTTTTGAAAATTTTTGAATTTTGTAATGTTGAATTTTGAAATTTTGACTTTTTTCGAGTTTTTTGGAAATTTGTGGAACACAGTTTTTTTAGGCAAAATTCAAAAATTGCGATTTAAAGGAGCGTCGAAGTGTGGAAAGGGGGAAACTGGGCCACAATAATAACACAATTTCAGAGCTCACGGCGAGAGAGCGGGGGCGAGAGAGACGGCAAGAGCGAGAGAGATGGAGCGACGGCGAGAGAACGAGGGCGAGAGGGACAGCGAGAGAGAGGGAGCAGCTGGGCCGGAGTGAATTAAAGGAGCATATAAGCAGGTGTGTTTCCGGGTTTTAAAGGACCGTTGAAGGCTGTTGGCCCGTGGATTTTTCGACTGTTGACCCGAATTCTCGTATTATTTTCTCTTTTTCAGGCCGACTACCGTACCCCTTCGGCCGGCGGAACGGCTCGAACAGCTCGGAGGAAGAGCTGATAATCTACCGACGCCCGCCAGGAACCTAAAATTTTTTTGAGGCGTTTGAAGTGTCTTTATGTGTAATTAATTATTGCTTATGATTATTTCAATAAAGACATATTGATATTTATTGGATTTGTGCCTATTTATTCGCCACGTACCGACAGAGATACCTCGAAATACGTGCTCAGAGAATTGGTTCTTTAGAGAATGGATTGTGTTTAGGGATGCGATTATTGGTACCGATACTGCTTCTCTTTGTCGGTTTGGCGGCTGAATGGTGGACACGGTCCGGGCCTCCACTCCTGCGCATCCGCAGATCAAAGGTACTGTATTTTTTAAAGGGATAGTGACGCATGATTTTAGGATTTCCACAAGACGACATGCCCAGCTAATACGGAATCAACCGATGGCCAATCGATCGTGATGATTGAGGACAAGACAATGGTTGGTGATCAGTTTAAAGGGATAGTGACACATGATTTTAGGATTTCCACAAGACGACATGCCCAGCTAATACGGAATCAACCGATGGCCAATCGATCGTGATGATTGAGGATAAGAAAATGGTTGGTGATCAGTTTAAAGGGATAGTGACACATGATTTTAGGATTTCCACAAGACGACATGCCCAGCTAATACATGGAATCAACACGATGGCCAATCGATCGTGATGATTGAGGATAAGAAAATGGTTGGTGATCAGTTTAAAGGGATAGTGACACATGATTTTAGGATTTCCACAAAACCACGTGCCCAGCTAATACGGAATCAACCGATGGCCAATCGATCGTGATGATTGAGGACAAGAAAATGGTTGGTGATCAGTTTAAAGGGATAGTGACACATGATTTTAGGATTTCCACAAGACGACATGCCCAGCTAATACGGAATCAACCGTTGGCCAATCGATCGTGATGATTGAGGATAAGAAAATGGTTGGTGATCAGTTTAAAGGGATAGTGACACATGATTTTAGGATTTCCACAAGACGACATGCCCAGCTAATACGGAATCAACCGTTGGCCAATCGATCGTGATGATTGAGGATAAGAAAATGGTTGGTGATCAGTTTAAAGGGATAGTGACACATGATTTTAGGATTTCCTTAAGACGACATGCCCAGCTCATACGGAATCAGCCGATGGCCAATCGATCGTGATGATTGAGGATAAGAAAATGGTTGGTGATCAGTTTAAAGGGATAGTGACACATGATTTTAGGATTTCCACAAGACGACATGCCCAGCTAATACGGAATCAACCGATGGCCAATCGATCGTGATGATTGAGGATAAGAAAATGGTTGGTGATCAGTTTAAAGGGATAGTGACACATGATTTTAGGATTTCCACAAGACCCACATGCCCAGCTAATACGGAATCAACCGATGGCCAATCGATCGTGATGATTGAGGAGGGTCGTGGGTGGGGGTAAGAAAATGGTTGGTGATCAGTTTAAAGGGATAGTGACACATGATTTTAGGATTTCCACAAGACGACATGCCCAGCTAATACGGAATCAACCGATGGCCAATCGATCGTGATGATTGAGGATAAGAAAATGGTTGGTGATCAGTTTAAAGGGATAGTGACACATGATTTTAGGATTTCCACAAGACGACATGCCCAGCTAATACGGAATCAACCGATGGCCAATCGATCGTGATGATTGAGGAGTAAGAAAATGGTTGGTGATCAGTTTAAAGGGATAGTGACACATGATTTTAGGATTTCCACAAGACGACATGCCCAGCTAATACGGAATCAACCGATGGCCAATCGATCGTGATGATTGAGGATAAGAAAATGGTTGGTGATCAGTTTAAAGGGATAGTGCACATGATTTTAGGATTTCCACAAGACGACATGCCCAGCTAATACGGAATCAACCGATGGCCAATCGATCGTGATGATTGAGGATAAGAAAATGGTTGGTGATCAGTTTAAAGGGATAGTGACACATGATTTAGGATTTCCACAAGACGACATGCCCAGCTAATACGGAATCAACCGATGGCCAATCGATCGTGATGATTGAGGATAAGAAAATGGTTGGTGATCAGTTTAAAGGGATAGTGACACATGATTTTAGGATTTCCACAAAGACCACATGCCCAGCTAATACGGAATCAACCGATGGCCAATCGATCGTGATGATTGAGGATAAGAAAATGGTTGGTGATCAGTTTAAAGGGATAGTGACACATGATTTTAGGATTTCCACAAGACCACGTGCCCAGCTAATACGGAATCAACCGATGGCCAATCGATCGTGATGATTGAGGGATAAGAAAATGGTTGGTGATCAGTTTAAAGGGATAGTGACACATGATTTTAGGATTTCCACAAGACGACATGCCCAGCTAATACGGAATCAACCGATGGCCAATCGATCGTGATGATTGAGGGATAAGAAAATGGTTGGTGATCAGTTTAAAGGGATAGTGACACATGATT